TTTAAGACACTTTACAGACCCAGAAGCTCTGTCCATTATAACTTGTGTCAATGGGTTAAATAGAGAGAATAGAGATTTATATTGTGAAATGCAGTGCAGCAATTTACATTATATGGTTGAAAAAAGTGATTGGCAATGCACCCCCTGTGCTTGCCTTTATGCTGTCACAATTTGATGTGTTCAAGTTAGTTTTACACGCACAGTGTGTCATTTTGGGTGTACTAGGAGTTACTCTTTTGAACAGACAGGGTTGTGATGCATGCCTTTCCAGTATCTGTGTGACTTGTCACTGTGTTCTTTGCTTTGCAAGCCTCTTCCTGAAATATGATGAGCTTAAGCTAAAAGCTTCCAGAGCCTCTCATCTTAAAAAATGTGACAGCTAAACCCTCCAATCTAGCTACAGACAGAAAGAGAGACTTCAAGTGCAAGGAAAGAACTTGTGGTTTCCTAGCACCAAAAGGTTGCTATTAGAGCTCGTACAGCAGCGGAGTCTTGATAGAACCCTAATAAGCCTGTCAAAGTGAGATATTTGTGATCAGTTTTGTTGTGACCCATTTTAATCCAACAACACTGCTCAGCTTCACATGAGCAGATAAGTGAGGCACTTTAATCTGAATACCAACTCCTCTGAGAAAAAGATGGAGGAGAGAGTGGGAGATAAGAGAAAGAAAAAGGGACAAAGACATATGAACAGACTGACAGACGCATGCACAAACACATATGAAGCAGGTGCCATGATGAAAACAGAAAACCTCAATCGTGGATAAAAATATTGAATGTTTTGTTGTTATTTTGATGGCTTGTCTAAACTATTGCAGCAGAGAGAAATTCTGCTTGCCAATCACAGGCTCAGAATCTCAACCAAACTTGGCTGTGGGTGGACAAGCTTTCCCCCATGATGGCACCGCCTGCCAGAGAACAGGAATGACAGAAAGTGGGAGTGGAAGAGGAGAGAGAGGAGGGGATCATCTGTGAGCATTATACTGCACTAATTACATACAGTACTGTGCTAATAAACTGTACTGTAATGACTAACATAGATGGCAATGGGTAGAGGACATGATTTTTTTGGTTTGGAATTTCAGGTTGCTGTGCAGTTGGATAGATTTCTGCTGACCAAGCTTGTCTCCTAGAAATTACACCTCTATAATACATATTCATTTTTACCAATTACATTACGTTGGGAAATAAAATTGCTGCCCAGATTATGTTCACAGGCAATATTTTTTGTGAGTGCTACATTTTGGTACCAAACACATAGGGAGGAGGTCGGGGTGAATAGTGGTCGTAAAGAGTGCAGGCATATGGCATCCCGAGAACCGAACTAAAATGTTCTCCTATCATCAACCAAATGCTTTCATTTGCGAAACATAACCATAAAAAAGTTTAGTAATGCATTAGTTGCCATGGGCAGATATTGTAGGGAAAACTGATAAAATACTTTGTCAGTGAACATTTCTCTAGGGTTGCTGTGACAGTTTCTACAAAATTCAACCACTTTCAAATCCAGCTCATAATGATTTCCTCTATATTGAGTTTTGGTATGGTTCAGATATTTTTATACATGTGCAATTTATAAAACATATATATACGGACCTTGTGGTATGAAATTAATTCTACAATCAGGTTGTACAGCTAAGAAGCGATGCTACAAGATACATACACGTAAGTAGATTTTTTTCATCCACTGCCCATAATACTTTTCTTAACCACCTTATGTCATAATCAGTGTTGATCACTAAATAGTTCTTTAATTTTACATAATCTACATAACTATTTTTCATCAATTTAGATAATGTGTATTTACAGTATATGCTTTGGTAACCTATTTCTTAAAATCTAAATGTCAATAAAGGCAATGAAGCTTCAATGAATCTAACTGAATTGAGACACATAACGGAAGAGGGACTGACGATGAAAAATAACACCTATACAAGCTCATCCCACTTATCTGTGTCAAGGGGGGACATTATAATCTGAAGCACTACTGAGTGTTATTTATATTGTGCCCAGTACGAGTCATGAGCATCAGTGACAGCGAGCTGACTGCCACCTCCAGATACCCTGCACTTCACCTCCAAACGCTCCCCGGCTGCATGTCGTGCCCACATCACAATGAGGCAGTAATCCACTCTAATGCCATAAGAAAAGAGTTGAAGTAGTGACATGCTCCATGTCCCACAGGCAGAGTGTGTCTAGAAGATTTTGACTTAGGGGGGCAGGAGAGGGCAGAGATTCAGATGAGAGGGACTAATGATATTTGATGGATAAAGGGTTCACTTCAGAGAGTGCCAGATGGAAATATGAAATACAGGGGTGGGACAGGTGGAGCGGGGGTAGAGCTCTCTTTATAGGATCCTTAACACGATTAGCTATAAAATATATCTAATTGATGAACATAAAAAGGGGACAAACTCCAAAGTATGCCTATGTGTCCTATTAGTTTGGAAGTTAGTTAAGGAGAGTACATTCCCACCAGAAATGGCACTTTTAATAACTATTTTATGCTACATCTTGCCGTCAACTCAAAGCGAAAATCAAATCCCAAAATCTAATGAAAATATACACTGAGAACAACATCATTTCAAAAGAGTGAAGTCTACACTGTAGATCCCAACTTTAACAAACTGATCCTTAAACAGTTTAATATCAACTCAAATTTCATCCAACAAAGCAGTACGTCCATCAGCAGCTGTGCAGGCTTGTCCCAGCAGTCACCATGAAATAAAAATCGTTGTTTCAGTATTTTTATGTCTTGCGCTACACATGACTCACTAGGGGACGTCCACTAATTTTACATCTAATGAAATGCTTTCTCAGATCTTCAGATTCAGCAGAGTAGCAAATCAGATTGTAGGAACTGGTGCCACCCCTGAACCTGCCCCCTGCGTCTGTGAGCAAGAGAAACACTAAAGTGAGAGAGAAAGGGTGTATGTTTGTGTCAGAGAAAGAGACATCATCCCCTGACTGCTGCAGTTTCCCACACACCTATTTCACCCAGCAGTGTATCCAGATTACAGCTAATCCTAAATGCCACAGCCAGACTCCTGACAGCAGCTAAAAGTAGTTGGCATATCGACTCCATTTTAGCTTCACCGCACTACTGCTGCAATTTAAGACTGATTTTAAATTTTTATTGAGCCCCCTCGAGACATATTCTAAATTAGTTGTATCGCTGAGGTTTTTAACCTGTTGTGTGCCTGAGATCCTGGAGAAGAATATTTAGATAGTTTCGCAAATTAGACTGTGATCTAACCTCTCTTCACAGTCTCTCTCTTTACAGTAAGTATTCTTTGTTAATATGCAGACTGAGTTCACTGTAACCTCACATGCCCTAACCAGGTTTGATGTTTATTTACTCACATCTTGGTCACCTTTTGCTTTATTTAGTTGCTTTCTCTAGTTTAATTTACTGTTTACTGTTACAGGGAAGGGGAAGCATACAAAAGAAAAACAGAGTTCAGGAACAGGACGAGATTCTGCAGCAGAGAGTTCAACTTTAGGTAGAGAAAAGGGAAAAAAGCAACAAAAACAGACAAAGAATGTGTCAATTAAATGTAAAAAACTGGTTAGAAAAACTACTGTAGGCTATATGTGCCAGGAACAAGGAGGAGGTATCACTATCGAAGAAGAAAATAAGAGTAAATAAAATAAATAAGAAACTGAATAACTTAGCTGATACCAACACAGAGAGAGAGAGAGAGAGAGAGAGAGAGAGAGAGAGAGAGGTGCACAATTAACAAAAAACACCAACAGAAAAGTGTGTGATAAAAGGGGAAAGTTATGCTACCAATTAACATTCTCCACTTGTTCTTGTGCATCATACCACAAAAACTAGTCTTTTCAGTCTGGGGCGAACAGCCTGGAGTTCTCTAAAAGCCAAGCAACAAAGGTGCTGGTGTTTGGAGAGGTGCAGGTTCAATTCCTGTAACATCTGCCGTGGTACAAGTGAGTCTAACAGTGAAGCTTTTGTACAACAGATGACAGACGTGTATAAGAGGCAAATAAAGAGAGAAGAAGCTCTTATATGTTCTATTTACTGAACTCTGCACTGAAACTTTCTCATATTATGAGATTTAAGCCATTGAGGCATTATCCATACTCTGATGATTGAAACATGGGTTATGCCAAAGTTTATGGAAAGCTAATGTTGCTAAATTTTTTATTTGCAATAGTATATTCTGGTAAGCTTAAGGGGTAAAACTAAATATAAATAAATAAATAAATAAATAATAGGAGAAATCTTTTACTACATGCTCTGTCTGATACCTTAAGCAACCTGACTGGTAACAATATGCTTAAGATAACATTCATTGACATGCAAGTGAAGCTGGATATGTGTGTTGCTGAAATTCTACTTTTTGGGCCATAAAAACGCTCAAATACTTTTTTGGAACTATTTAAGTCTTTGACAAGAAAGTGTGTCCATATCCAGACTCTCTGTTCTCATTATGGGCAATGCAACTGTCAAACGGCTTCCTGATTCACTACATCAAACAGTGTACAATGACACTACACCTTCTGTAAAGCATATGTCTAAAAAGAAAAGGTCCAACGTGATACATTTCTGAAAGTTATATATCTATTAACTCTGACTTAAATCAGGGAAGCTCTAATGGAACATGCAATGAGATGTTTTTGAGTGTTTGTAACAGCACTTCAGGTGCCTGTGTCTTCCTTTCATACACACCTTGTTGCCTTCTGGACAGAAACTTTAACAGTCAATGCTGGAAACCAAAGCCAATGCATACAGATTTTTCTACTAATCAAAATCTAATTTCAAAGAGTTCTAAATCTGCTTCTTATCCTTCACTCATTTTTAAATCAAAGACTAACCCCTTGGGAAACGCTTTGAACAATGACAGCCTGTAAGTTAGGTTGCACAAATGATACTGAAAGAAGAACATTTTAAATTGCATTAAATATCAAAAACAAAGTTAACAAAGCTTGTAAATATTCATAGAAAAGCAGGCTGAGGTGTCACATGTGCCTTCACTTACTGTTAGTTTTGAGGCGGGCTGGCTCACTGTTGCGGCTTCCTGCCTGGTTGATAGCCTTGACAAAGAAGATGTAACGGGTGCCACTCTGCAAGCCGTGCACCGTGTAGTGGTTTTGCTTGATGTTTGGTACGATCATCCAGCTGTCTGCAGAGTTGTACAAACCTGGCAGATCCACAGAAACACACACACACACGCACACACAAACACACACACACACACACACACACACACACACACACACACACACACACACACACACACACACACAGCATAAGTAACCAAGTTCTGTTGATGTTTTTAAGGATAGCAGAACTACAGCGAGTCCTGCAGAGACTCTTTTCAGTGATGTTCATGAGAGAAAAAAACAATTCTACCCCCAAAATCTGACCAGAGCACAATGTTATTTTTTCTCTCCAAAAGTAATCACAGTAAGAAGCTCAGAGATCACACAGTCCGCGGTGTTATGCAACATTTATGTGTACATACCGATCCAACCCATTACCTTTCCATCAGGTTTATCATGGTTTGCTCCCCTCAGGTGATTTTGTGTCTTCACCAAGCTGAATCTATAACCCATTAAGAACAAGGTGCTTACGCAATATGACAAGTGAATGTGTGTAAGAGCCTGAGGGCAAAAGAGTGTAATAGCCTCTAATGTTCAAATGTATGGAAACGTGGGCAATAACCAACATGACCCCATGGTGGGCGCTTTGATTCAAAGCGGCTTGCAGTAGAGAGTTAGTAATGGCTGGGTTAGCTCTGCAGTCACCTGCTTCTAAACACAGTCTTTTCAGTCTCTCAGCTGCAACCGACTGTGAAGGATAAAAAGGAAATCTTAGCTCAGGCCTAAGGGGAGAGAATTGACTACGATGGGGTGCCTTTTCGGCCTCTAGTCTTGTGTAAAATAACAGGGATGAATTTACGAGATAACATTACTGCTATTTTTACCTTAACTGACCCGCCACATACAGTATGTTTTTATGAAGTGGTGTTATCTGAAACATAACTTTAAACGCAAGGTGAAAGGTGTGCATTAAAGATGGAAAGGTTGTTGTGGAGGGTTGTGTTTATTTGAATCAGATATTGCAAGAAAAATTGACAGTCAGCTACCGTAAGTGTGGTGCTACTGCACTTATGCTTCTGGTTGATGTGTGAAAAAACAAACATGGTGTGAAATTTGCCACATTCAGCGCACTGTGTGATTTGCACAGACTTTATTGGCATTGTCATACAGGACAAGTGAAGAAAAATGATTTTTTTTCTCAGCAGCTGAGTACTCTGACCACGCTACATGTGTTAGTTTGTGTAACAACACACATGAATGTTAATTCCACTGCTAGTTAAACCTTGAATTTCAATAACAGTATGACAAATACCGCCATGATGTGCGAACATCTCTCACAAAGAGCCACTGAGCACCAGGCTTAAAATTTCTTTCACCCACCTCAAAAATTCTGAACACATTCAAATAAACCCTTGCCCAAACAAACAAAGTCTCTTGTTAGTAGCACTCCAGCTGATGTTAATGTTTGTAGAGTTGAAGGTAGAATAACAATCCTTCCTATTGTCTTGTCTTTCCTCCCCCCCTGCAGGATTGCAGGGAAATAAAAATCCTGAAAGGGAAAGAGCTCTCAGGGCCATGCCTGCCTTGTCCCTTCTGGTGAGGATGCGTTGTGAATTATTGAACAAGATGGCAACAGCATGCATAAGTAATAGTCGAGAGTCTGAGCTTGTAAATATAAATACTTCACAGGACGCAAATAAGGCCTTTAAAAGTGAGGCGGCTTTAAGAATGAATGAGGGGAGGGAACTCTTAAAGTAGGAGTGAAGGCTGCGTCTTTACATATCTGCCAACTACCACAAGCTTTTCTCATACAAAGAAAACACTGTAGTGGAGTTCTCTTCCTTTAAGATGAGGGAGACAGAAAAAGTGAGTTCAAGAGAACCTTCTATACCCTATGCATGTGCATGATCTTCTCTGAATGCAGAGATGGACAGCAGATTCATCTGCATTTTATTTCAGCCTGGTCTTACAAATATGCATCCACTGTCAACAATGAAATCCCATTTCCTCACAAAGAACAAGTACGTTGTTCTACTGAGACAGCTGTCCCTTGGTGTTCTGAAAATTATGCCTCCCACCTGTCGTTTCAGCCGCATCCTGCAGAAATTAGGGAGGCTATGTGGGCTTTCAAAAAGAGATACAGGGGAAAGACGAGGGAGAAGGACTTCACGCTGCTTTCCATTTTAAAAGCTTTTGATCTCCATAGCACCTCTTCCTTTTTGCTAAATCAAATTAGGTCAGTACACAGCAATACGCTATCGCTACTTATACTACTACTACTAGTAGTGCTACTAGCCCAGCTGCTTTGGAGACTTGACTTCAAAGTGTGGAGCAGTAACTGAATGTGCCATTGTAAAAAGAGAAAGGAAAAAGGGGAGGAAATAGATCGGCTTGTGTCTAACATCCAAACATCAAGTGTGTGTGTGTGTATGCACAGTGCGTGTGTCATTGTGTGTCTTGCTCAGAAGCGGACAGATGAGAGGGGAACTGAAAAACAAAATATCCTGGAAATGGAAGAGGCTTTGTGTTTGATGATGCAATATGGAGTTAATGGTGACTGTGTGTGTGTTCGTGTGTGGTGTGTGTGTGTGTGTGTGTGTGTGTGTGTGCTTGCATGGGTATGTCTTACATATGTATATAAGTTAATTTGTTCTGGAGGAACAGACTGGGTGTGTGAGAGAAGCCCTGCATTAATAAAAGCAACACAACACATCGAGTTCACCTGCATCTATCTCTTGGTGCCTCTACATAACTTTAATAAGTGTACTGTTGTCAGACTACTTTCCTGGATAGGACTGAAACTTCATTAACATTTCATCCAACACTGCTACAAAGACCGATCCTGCTGATCCTGAAAGATTCCCTGTCGAGATACAGAGAAAGAGAGATTGTACCCAAACTCTGGGCTGTCTAAGTGCCTACTGCGATACTGCTCTTCACCTGTGATAATCATTTTAATACTTCACCACGGGACAGTGGTGACTTTTTCAAGTCGGTGGCAATGTGAATTAGTCTCTCATGCAAAACAGTTGCAGCATTTCCTCTTAAGGAAGTCAAAATGTATGAAATTCTATTGGTTTATTTCTGCCTAAATTTAATGTTCTTAGTAACAATAGCTGACATTTTGGGAAACATTATACAAAATAATCACTTCTTTCTTACAGTGTCAAGAGTAAAATGAGAACATTGACACCACTCTCGTGTGTATGTTAAATATTAAGCTACAGTCGAGTGATGGTTAGCTTAGCGTAGCATGGGGGAAACAGCCAGCCTGGCTCTGTCAAAAGTAACAAAATCTACTATCAGCCACTCTAATACGCACTAATTAACAATAGCAAAGACTCCACCAGCAAGTATTCCCCAAAATGTTGATCTATTCATTTAAAATTTCAATATTTTAATGAATACACATTAAAACCATTAAAGAGCAAAAGTGTATGCTAAAAAGTAACTCTTAGATCAATTTTAGCAATGGATTAAATATGTATCAGCAAAAAGTGATATATACTATACAGCCATCGTTTTATCTTAGTGTAATTAAATGATTAAGATGTAGCACTTAATTAACGAGGATATATATGTAAGGATAGTGTTTACATCAGCGTTGACATCTGAAAAAAACAACCTCGGGTGGGCTGACTAAAAGCTCAAATGGAAATCCTGTTCTATTTCAAGAAAAATTAATCAGCAATTACACTCAGCTTTTTCTGTTTTCACTTCTTCCTCGCAGGAATCACCATCACAAGATAAAAGTTGACAGACCATAATTTGTGTGTGTAATGTAGAGGATAGAAGGTTACCTATCCATTACAGGTGATTACCACATAGAAAGATAAACAGCTATTTACAGAAGAGTGGATGTGCAATATAAGTGGATAGTCGGGGGTGTCAGCTGGCAGATAGATAAATGGGTCAATACCACTTGTAACTTCCACAGGGCCACAGGTAGCATCTACACAGTTGCAGACTCAGTCATGTCTGGGTTTTTGACACTGCTTACATTTATGCATGGTATTTGGTTTCACTTGCTGATTCTATTTTCTGCTGCAGTGCTTGGATGATCCTGGACCCCCCCCTCTCAGGAAGGCCGGGCGAAAGAAAAAGAGAGAGACAGGATGGCGCTCAAGTGGGAGCATTTAGCCACTTGGAAAGTTAGAGAAAAATGCTATGGTAAAAACTCAAGTGGCGTGGCAGGCTAAATGGGTTTCTCTCTTTCTCAGTTTCTCCTGTGAATCTCGGAGGACTCTGTGGCAGCACACTGCTGAATATCTGAGTCACTCAGTCTATCACAGCTGAAATGTATCCTGATGTTTCAAATGGCTAGGGCTCTTGAGTTGCATGGTTAGATGGAGAAATGTCAGGCTACACAGAGGAGAAGAGATGATAAAAGGATCAAAGGGGGGGTGGTGGAGAGAGGTAGAAGTGTGTGTGCACATGTACACAAATGTACATGATTATGTACATTAATCATATCCTCCTCATATCAGTAAGAGGTAATTTTCGCCTCCCCTATGTAACCATTATCCACTCTGATTTTCACCTGTTCTCCTGTTCCTCTCCTCCTTAACAGTGGTCTTTCTTACCCTTCATTTATGTAGTAGCAGACAATCAGCCGTGATGCTGATTAGCTGATAGGGGCCACATGTCTGGTACTCTGAATAAGTCCAAATTTAAAAAGAATAAGACCAATGAGTGCTGAAACAATGTACATTATCATAATGTCGTAACCCCAACTGTGGGCAAAATGTTTTGCAGTTTTTGCAGGATTGTCCAGTATTATGTGCATGTGTCATCCAAATCTGGTTACAATTATGGGAAAACAAATATTCAACTTACAAAATATGGTGATGATTATGAAACATTTTCAAGGAGTGATGGAAAAACAGTTTGATTGGTGGAGAAGATCAATTTGACCATGGCTGTTTGTGTTCTGAGCCTCATGTTATGTCATTTGAAGCCAAAATGTTAAAGGCTGTACAGACAGCCACATGGTGGTGATATTAGATCCGAAAACTAATGACTTGCCTCTAACAATTGCAATGATTGCTGCTCTATATGGTGCAAATGTAACAAGAGAGGCACTGAATGAAAACACCTTTACTAAAAACGAAATAGCTTTGATTTGGGAAGAAACGGGAGAGCTTGAAAGAGGGCAGCCTGTGATTTTACATTGTCATCTCTTATATCTGCAGTTTTCACACTGCTTAAACAAAACCAGACACTAAATATTGAATCTTTCTGAAGCATCCCCTTATGATGTACTGTATGTCCTATTTTTATAACAAGTTGTCTTGATAAGTCAGCTCTGTCTCTCTATAAATACAAGCATGGAGGACAACGAAGACTTTAAAACTGGACAGAAAATCTAGGTTATGCAATAAGGTTTGTATAAAATATTGAACACATGAAAATAAGAAATGTGGTGCTCTAGTTTATCTCTCTTTGTAACTGCAGGGAGGTCGAAGCAACTGTTGTGTTTCTTTGTGGGCTTGTGCATGAGAGTGTGTGTGTGTAGGTGCAGATGAATGTTTACAGTGGTTGAAGAATTCTCATTATAGTGAATACTACATTTACATAAGCCCTCCGTCATATTTGTGCTCATCTGTATATACTGTATGTACATTTGTGAACCAACAGAACCTGGGTTTAATTGACTTAAATGTAACTACAAGTCTAAATTACAGGATACTAGTAAATGAAATGTAGACAGTAGCACAAAAAGTGTTTCAGTCAGAAAACTGACTCAGTAATGTCAGTTACTAAAATTAGCTAACATTAGCCAGCATAAAGCTACTGGCCATACCAGACCACGTGAAGCTGTACAGTAGCAGCCAAACCTCTGAGCGTTTTATTCCTTGTGAATTAAAATTTTTACATAGTTACATAGTCACTTTAACAACTCACTTTAAAAAGCTCTTTAAATTTAACACCGGTTGATAAAAACACTCATGAGGATGATAGCACTATTGATGTCAAAGAGATCCATTGATCTCTAGTCTTTGAAGTTACCAAGCAGGTATTTTGCTCTAATGATATATCAGGAGTGTTCATGTTAATGCAGAGTGCAGTTTGAATCATGTATTACCCGTGTTACTCAGCTGTTTCTACTGGTGACTGTATGGTTACTGGATTGGATTGTTTCTCTGAAAGATCTAAATAGACATTTTACATACATATTACTTCATTTGTAAACCATCTCAAAAACACGTCAAATCTTTCAGCCATCTCTATCAAATTAAACTTTTATGGTATAAACACATCAAGAAAGCATTTGATCCCTCTGTCCAAACCTTGATGAAAACACTAGATAGAATCGCCCCTGCCTATTGCTTTTCTTCTGTATTACCATACCTGTGTATGTGTATGTGTGTGTGTTTGCACATGACTCACTGATGAAATTTGTCTGGCCAGTGTAGATGGTGTACTGCAGCTCGTAGGAGGTGACGCTGAACTCATCCTCTGAAGTCCAGTGGACAGTGATGGTGTCATGGGAAGCGGTGCACAGCTCGTCTCTTATGGATGGCGGGTTGGGAGCTACAAACAACAACAACAACATAATAATAATAATCATAATAATAATAATAATAATAATAATAATACATTTTATTTGTAAAGCACTTTTCATAGTGAGTGCTATATAGCATGATTAATAGTGAAAACAAAATAAAACATAAAATAAAAAATAAATGGTTATAATTAGCTTTAATTATCATTAAGTAAATATCTCCTTAAAGCTAACATCATGTTTGTACCAGCTGGTATACATTTATAAACCTGGTTATATAAATGGTTCACATTCTCTAGAATATAATGTCACCTTATAGAAAACCTACAGCATGTCCACATTGACAGTCAGAATTTCACTGACAGAGACGACTGTTTTGGATAGAAAAAAATAAAATACATTTTGCTAAATAAGGTTTGCTCACGACAGGAGTATCTACTGTAAATACTGAAGGTGTTCATTGTAGACCAGACGCAGCTCTTACCTGTTAGGTAATCTAGTCCTTCCAGGATCTTCTTTTCTCGGGAAAAGTCCAGGGCAAAGTTGTCAAATGCCTCATTCAGGTTGACGTCAGGGATGAGTACCTGGGAGGAGGCCGTCGCCATGGCAACCCTTTTAGAGGACATGGAAGCGAAGAAAAGGAAATGTCAGGAGAACAGTGGAGAGGTGAGGGAGCAGAGCAGGGCCAAGACATAGGATGAGGCGAGGAGAGGAAACGTAGGGACAGGGGGCAAGAAAAAATATAAAGGGCGATGAAGAGGTGGAAAAATATGAGGAGAGAAGGGAGGGAAGTAACAAGAGAGAGGTGGTAGACAGTAGTGTGTGAGCAAGAAAAAGACAAGAGAGAGAGGGAGGGAAGGAAATGCAGGTGAATAGAATTTAGAATAAAAAACTTCTCACAGAAGTGTCTGCAACCTGCCACATCAAAAACTATCACTAAGCCTTCAAAACACAGACACATAAACTCAAGAGTCTGTAGAGCTTTGTAGAAACTACTTCTGCTTTGAGCATCAGTGAGCCATGGGCGGCAGGAGCCAGCCAGCAACCACAGGGCTGGCAGGGTTACAGAGCAGTGCAGAGTGGAACACAGACCAGTGCTAGTCCTTGAGACTTTTGTTCCTCAGTGAGGAGAAACCAGTCAGTCAATAAAGCACCAGCCAAGTGATGGAAAAAAGCAGCATAAAGGATGCTACGATAGCTGCAATTTTGTAGAGACCTTTTGTCTGTGCGGTAGAAAGAGTGAGAAAGCTGCCGGCCGGTGGTGAGAGAGAGGGATAAAGGTATTACGAGGGTATGCAGGTGGAAAGAGAAACTGCAGAGCCATCCCTTTAAATGATAGATGATTTTCAACAGAGGCTTGACACTGATCGCTGGAGCTAGAGAGGTTTGATGTAATGCTGATTTTACCAGCGGCATAACTCGAAGATTAGATTTCATAAAAAGTTAATAGAGGCAAACTTATTGTAGGGCAGAGGTTTTGAGATCTCCTTAAACAAATCTGTATCTGTGCCCTGTGACAGGATAACACGACTGCACATACCAGAGAAAGAGAAATGAAAGCTATAATCAGAATGATTGATTTCATACTGATTTTTGTCTGTGTGTCTAATGAAAAAATTAAGTGACCTGTATTTTCTGCAGCATGCAGGTTCAGAGCACATCTTACACAAAGACAGGGGGAAAATACAGAATGGGAGGGCAAACAGGAAGAGAGAGCTTACCACGGATTGTCTGTGAGTGCATTTTCTCCTGTGTATGTGTGTCCTGTTCTGTGGATTGTTGCATACGTACAGCTCTCTGAGCAGTGATGTATATTAAAACTTACCTGCAATCATCCACTAATGTACGCAAAATGTACCTTTCACTACACCATGGTTTCTACTTCACTGTGTGTGTGCGGATGTGTGTGTGTGTCTGTACACTGCATCACCCACCGTTCTGCTACATTTCGGGCGGTCTGCAGGAAGCGAGCGTGGTCGTTCTCCTTCAGGCTCTGTTCGGCTTGTGTGATGAGGGCACTAGAGCGCTCCAGACATTGGCGACAGTTTGCAATCTGCTGTGCCAACTTACGCAGTTTCATCACCTGGAACACACACAAATACAGCACATGTTGCTATGTTGGGGCACACTGTTGTATTAATTTGTTCAATCTAAACCTTGAAGGAATATGTCACTGTTATGGGGACTAGGCTTTCTCCCTTACGTGATAAGAACACAGACAACAATACCAACTTAATATTATGTGGTATGGTTTAAGGTTTCACAATTTCAGCCACCGCATTCTTCCACTACATGGACATTCTCAACCATACACTGTCTTTTATCACAACTTCCAAAAGTCAGACTAAAGTCTGGTGTTATTGATCTTCTATGCTTTTCTCTTGTGGATGAAAATAATCCACGGTCCAATGATTTCAGTATGGTATCATTACTGTGACAGACACTGATCCACAAATATGTTCAATACTTCCAGAATTTATAATTAGGCTTTGCTGCCAGATTGCTCTAAAATAGTCAGCACTGGTTGCACCCCCTGAGATGATTCCTGCTAGGTGAAACCAACAAGTTGCCATATGGCAGACTATCGCTACAGCTGAAGTTTTAAAACTGTAAGAGAACAACAAAATAAAATAAAAACACACAAACCCTCTGCAAGAATCTTGGATAGACATTGCATGTCTTGGACTCTGATGAAATATTATCTTGCCTGAGGAATCTTTGAATTATGTACAATTAATTATTAACTATCTGCATTAGGACCTCATTCTACACTCAACCTCAACTCAAAAACAAGCTTTTTACAAATCTGTATGCTGTCCGATTTCTGTTGTATGTTGTCAGCGTGAGAAAACAGGCTCTCAAGTATATTATTTCACACGCAGATATTAACTGCCACTTGCACAGTATCAATCCTCGCACACACATTCAGTGATAGTTGTACAGGCAGCTAGAAACAAAACATAGGGAAAGACAAAAAATGGCACCCATTTGTAAACAGCTAAGCAGAAAACACACAAAGTAGCAATTACCTGAGACTTTCTGCTTGGCGAGTGCTGGAGAGCATATGCTTTCACAAGCATTACTCTGCTCCCAAAGTTGAATTCTGCTAGTGCCAATCAACCTGACTCTGCAACTCTCAGTTTTTGTATTTGTGCACAGGGACTTTGTCTGAGTGGCAGTTAACATCTGTGCAAGTGAAATAATGTAATTTGACGACACATGACATAAATCTGTTGCCATAAATCTGCCTTTTCCATCACCTTCACACGCTCAAAAATAAACCTCTAGATTACGTGTGGACGCACAAGTGATGCAGATAATTGCACAAACATAGACAGGAAAACACAGAGACAGGAAGACACCAAGAATGCAGCAGAGAGGACAGAGTCCTGGTTATGGGGTCAGAAGTGAACCCACTGGCTCTTTATTCTCACACTGACCATGTTGCATAATGTAAGGGCAGAGGCAAACAGCATAATGCATGGTTATCCGATATAACAGTCAGAGAAAGGCTACTCTGTCATACATTTGCATATGTCTGTGTTTGTCTATTAAAGAGGTCTAGAAACTACTCCACAGTTACAATGCGGCCTTATGTATATATGTATCTCTATACACTTTGTGCATGTTTCAAATGTACCAGCAGAGGCAGCTAGAGGAATACCATGCCCTAAAAAAACAAACAAGAAAGGAATGGCCCATATCAGCTTGATTCATCTTCATCACAAACAACCAATCCTGTGTGCATCAAGAGGCAGGTCTGTCAGTCAGATCAGGGTTCAGATTCTTGGTACACAAAGGCACACACAAGGTTTTGTAATGCAGTTCGTTTTGACTGTAATTTGTCAATGGGCGTACCGTAATATAATTTCCGACTGACCATAAGGAAGCCATTCTGTGCTAATTTGAAATTAAAGTAATCCATTTATCTTCATTACGGCTCACATCCTGATTCCTCAAATGAACTTAGTTTGATGAAACTCTCGACAGGAAATAACAGGCTGCTTGTGAGCCTCGAGACTGCCAGCGAAAGGTGAGCTGTAGAATAAAACATCGGCTTTAGCATGGAGTGCGTCTAAGCAACGATGATTAAATGAAACCTCTGTGAACTTCTAAATGGCAAACAGTAAAGTAAAAGTCACTTCTTTGTCTGAAAACAGTATGCTTTCAGTAACAGCTAATAACTTAAAATGTCTAAACTCTAAATAAAAATAAAAAGAGCAGAAACATTTGAAATGATGAGTGCCTCAGTGGATTAGTCATCTATATTTTCAGCAACACATTTTTGTTCGCAGGGTTTGATTTATGCAAATAGGAATTCTGAAAAAAACACACTGGGTGGCAATCGGTTAAGAGCTTGTCATCAAATGCTCTCAAAGAATCAAAACAGTATCTAATGTGTGCTCGCTGGGAAAGCTGCTCCTGCTCTCTAAGCCGCCGACTTAATGGAGTTTTCATTTGACGTCTTAGCTGCTCTTCCACCAAGTCCACCATAATCTGTTGTCACTAAACGTCATTTGAGCAGGTTGTTGACCGCACAGACAGGACAAGCGAGACGGGTTTAATGGATGGGGTATTATTTGGCAACATATGCGGGCAAACAACAATTTTAGAGATGATTACTCTCTCTCTCTCTCTCAATAATGGACAATATGGCAGAGTTTGTGTGTGTGTTCTCACATCCTGTGAAGAACTGTCTTGTCTAAAGCTGAAATATAAAAGTCCACTAGTGTACTAGATCTTATGCACTGCTAAATGACTTATGGAATTATTTTTGGGGGTCACTTTGATGGGACTTTCTGAGCACAGAATGAAATAGGGATAGATAAATTAGATTTTGTAGAATGTAATTGTAAGTTAAGTTGTTCTGTGCTCACATATATATATATATATATATATATATATATATATATATACAGCTACGTGTGCGCTCAGGTTTGCAGCTAAACCTGAAACAATGGCTCTCATTCCGCCTACTTGCACACTTCAAACACTTAGTTTTGAGTATATAATGTAGATAACACAAAAAGTCAGTGCACTGAAAGTACCCAGATGACCCCCTAAAAACAGTCAAAACATTCAGTGTAAAATGATGGACCCTACTCGCACTGAACGGACGCCATCTTGACTACAAAGCGGAAGGGGAGGGACCATTGGGACGAGCACGTTATAAATGTGAACTCTATCGTATAAATGTAAGTAACAGCGGTAATACGAAACGTTTTACTGTCGTCTAATGCATTACTTACATGTCCTCACTGACACTGACTAAAGCCAGACACAATCATTTGGCGAGTTAATTAGCGTAACGTTACATGTTAATGCTACCTAGCTACCTCGCTACCCTAACCTGCGTTGGCGTCGGAGGCGACGTAGTTCCCACATGCTGTGAACTGAGCGCTAAATGAACGCGCAGAAAAATGTCTGTTAACAGAAGCTAGCATATATTTTTGGCGGGCTGGAAAATCGTGTTCACGTGTGTTGCGTTCGTCGCGTTCGTCACGCTCATCCCGCTCCTCATTTCCGGTAAGTGTTTTAAGATAAGTGTTCCTTTTGGGACAATATAACCATCGAAAGTGGGCACTATGGCAGTAAGTGGTCAGTGCACATTAGCAGTGTACTGACGGAAGTATGCGGAATGAGACACAGCCAATGTTACAGTGTGTCTGACTCATCCTTCTCTTATAATCCTAGGACAGAAACAGGAAGTGCAGGAGTGTCAGAAAATGTGTGTATTTTGGTAACTCTAATAGCTTGACAAGAAGCTATCTTCATTGTTAGCTAAATTCTGCCGGATGAGCAGTGGCTAACTAAGCTAGCTGGCTAATTTGGTTTGAAAATGCTTTGGCTTTCTTGAACTACATGAGAAGATTGAAACCACTTTCATGTCTGTACTGTCTACTGAGTGTCACTAATGACATGTTATAAATAGTTTGTTTAATATGTACAAAAAACCGAAGTGTTTAAATGACACTGGCCTAAAAATAGCCCAGCATACAACCACATGTAAAATGACAAATTGTTGCTTTTATATTTTGGTTTCTGTACGGACTCAACAAACGAGATATAAGGTGTTAATTATTGAAATGTATGTAAATGCTGCTAGTATCCAGATTTGAATACCTATAAATGGAATCACGTGAGCTGTTTCCCCGTTTCCAGTCTTTGTGCTAAGCTAAGCTAATCAGCTGCTAGCTGCATATTTACTGTATAAACACAAGAGTAGTATCCTCTCAACATACTCTTGACACTAAGGCTCACACAATTGTACCTTTAAGTCAATTTGGGAAAGATGGTTATGGTTAAAAGAAACCAAACTTTTACAATAAGTAGGAAACTGAATGTGAACAGCGGTATTGTATATCAAAGTCACATGCTTTGTACATTCAACCATCTAGGTCGACCCTAAGACGCCTTTGGCGGCATAACAATGTTACGCACTTCTGTCACTCCTTCTGACAGACAGCACTCACAATCTGCACATAGCCAGGTTGTTGTCAGGTAAGTGTAAACAGATTGTTCACAGCCTAATGCTGTTGTTTTTCTGGTGAGCACACCTTTTACCAGCCATAAACTTGTAATAAGTGAAGCTAAAAATGACATAATGGCTGTTTTCAGAAAACAAGTTATTCTTTAAAACCCCAAAACAGATTTGAGTTGTTAAACCGTATTGCTCTAAAAGGAGTTAAAATAGTTTTCAGGATGGAAGACAAACACAGTCACATGGTACAACACCCTCTTGGACACACCAGAACATGGGAATAGTGTGTGTTTTGTTTGGGCAGGGAGAGATTAGGCATGACTGCGGAGTCTCCTTAGAGAGAGAGGCTGAGCTTGTTAAGAGTAGGTGAGAGAGAGAGAGAATGGGAGCACCTTGCACAGCACCATAATCACGCCTGCATAATCCTGTTATTCTGTTGCAGTCACCTCTGAGCATTTCCCTCTACTACACTGTCCTTAACAGAAAAACACAGCATGAGTCGTGTGTTGAAATGTCTAAAACGACCTACGTTTACCTGACCTTTAATGGTCTCTCCTCTCATCTCCTCTCAGGCAAACATCCATTTTAACACAACCGTGATTATTTGAATTACTCAGGGTGCATTTCATTAGTCTTTCTTGACCCGTAAACAGCCTAAAATATAAAAACACATCACCTGCAGTGACATCAATCGAGCGCTCCTCAGGTTTTTTTTTGTGGTGTTCTTCCCCCTTACATCCGTATCCTGCATTTTACTCCGCTAGCCTCTGCTAGACAGCCTTTTACAGACCCAGACTCTCATGAGAACAAGCCTTGCTCTTTGTCTGCAATCACCGCAGACACACTCTCACACACACACACCAACACACACACCTACTTCCGTCCTTGTGTTCAGTGTTTGGAAATCTTTCATCTCTCGACAAAGCTCTTTTGCTGCCTCAGAGGATCTTCCACCAGCACTTAAAACTTCACCTCTGGGAGGGCGAGATTCAGAGTTTGCCTCTGTCCTGAAACCCTAGGCGCTCATGGGGAGTCAACCACCCAGATACACATGGGCACGTGCCCACACACACACACACACACACACACACACACACACACACACACACACACACACACACACACACACACACACACACACACACAGATGTCTGCACAGTCCTGGACTCTCTTTGAAACAGCAGCGAGAGGTTCACAACAGTCTTTGCTGCCATCACAGATTCTCTCCACACACATTCAGGTTGGCTACCTACATGTGGGAGAGGCCGTTGCTGTTCTCTCTCTTTTTCCTCACTTGTCTTTTCCATTTCTCCTTAAGCATCCATGTGATGTGTGTTTGGGTAAACAAGCAGGCAACTACAGAGGCAGCCTCACAGAAAAACAACACTGACAGACCTGGACGAATATTTTCTGTCAGCACTGCTGCTCTCATATTCGTTCTTTTGTGCAAAACCACTGTTTCTCTAGCAGTGGACTGTGACCCAGAGCTGAGAGAAAAGATGAATTTCGAATTTGGCTGCTTGAAACGGGAGTGAGACGAAACAGTTTGAATTGATGCACTGTGTAAGCTGAATTCAATAAACTCCAAATTAACCTATAATATAATATAATATGTACACTAAATCCAATGATTAGGCTATGTGCGGTCGCTTGCAAATCCACAGATGATTATCCTCGGTCTGTGCAGCTCTATGGAGCTGTTTAGGCACTTTTAGCTCATTGTTTTGGTTTTAAGGCAAACACCAAGCTCATGACCTACTGTACTATACTGTGTTTTCTGTATAAGTTGGTGGAGAAAAAACTAGAGCTCAAGAGGTCAGAAAATTACTTGATTTACATTCATCAGGTGACCAGAAATACAACTACAATGGGATGATAGTGTTACTCCATGTCTGCTGGATGTAAGTAGTTGCTTACTCTAGCAAACCCCTTGTTAACTTGCTAACTATTACAATTCTTTAAGGCAATACAGTGTCAAGACTGTTTGCCCCTTGAATCAGTCAAAGTAACTTTAACTTGCTGAAACTATCCATCATCATAGTTTCAACTGAATTTAAATATACTTGTATTGAAATCTCTCTCGAGCTGGACCTGAAATTGAAAAAGTATAAAGACATCCTGGTAATACTACCTTGGACTCTTTGATCTTCACAGCGATGACCTGTTTTCTCTGGCGGATGATCTCCACTAGCTCATCACACTCCTCCACCAGCTTGGCTTCATGCATGGCTGTGTTCACCTGGAGATAGAAGCAGGTACACACACTTATTAGGTACATGACTGGGAGATCCAACTATGCTGTATGGATGTTCTGAATCAAGCAAAATTGGCTTGGTTAGTGGTTTTCACACACAATATATCACACTAAACTGGCCATATGTTACATTTGATTTTGTCTGCGTAAAAACAACAATATATGCCTATTGTTCGTCTCCTCTGTTTGTACGGAGCTTTAAGATAATCTGGATTGGCAGCTTTGACCATTCATAATCATCACTTACACAGAGAACACATAATTTGTTTTCTCAGTTTCAATTTGGATTCTGCACACAAGGACATGCTGCCTTCAACAAAAATTACACCTGGATTAGAATGAACTTGTGATGAACTGAGATAAATGGTTTCCCCTGCTTTATTTGTGTCACTGGAAAGACCAAAAATCATTTTATAATACAAAGCACGCAGAGGAAAAAAAACACAGATTAGATACACAGATAGGTCCACAGTCACCCCTTTAGTGGGCATTATGGGTGATAAGAAAAGAGCAAAAAAATGTAACATGAACTTGGGATTTAATTTTTCATTCTCTAAAATGTTCTGTTCCTTGCTGGAGGGAAATCTATCACAGCTCATAAAAATGGGCACATTTCTGCAGAATATAAACCACCACTTGTTCTGGTATGTAACACTAATATATTATACAGGAAAAAAATATAATATACTGAGGAAATGCAGTTACACCCTTTTTCTAAAACATGTTTATTTCAGTTTATTATGAACAACAAATGGGTTGAAGATTCAACTCTTCATCACAAAAGCTCCCCAAAAGAGCCGGTGTAGGCAATTCAACGACAGAATCTGCTTACACCATGCCAATTTAATAGATTCTGTGATTATTTTAGGACCAAAGTTGCCAAGGCAACTCATCAGCAGTTCAGCATCTCAGGCCAACGCTAAATGAACAGCCAACTTCAAACTTGTGTGGGTGGGTGGGTGTTACTCAGACACTAAGGGTGTTTGGGGAACGCTGAACCACTACCAATAGGTTTGCCAGTTGTAAAATACAATTGTAATTACACCTACAACTACATCTAAGGCAGGGGTTCAAATTAAAAAAAGTATAGATGTACTGCTTTATTCCACTGCTGAGGGACATTTGGCTAATCATAATGAGGGCTAACTCAGGGACTGATGGTTTAAGACTGAGTTGGCTGTGATTCTGTTTCACCAGCAAAATGTAATCTGAAGCACTCCAAACACAAACGTATGAGTTAGAAACCAAATCCCTGCCCTGAGGCAAAAACTTAACTGGGTGTTATGATTGGCTAGAGAGAAACCTTATCGCTGCTTTGTCTGTTCCAAGAGATGTTGCTGTACACTGATATAAGGATGTCAAGTTCCCACGTACCATCAAATATAAAGTTGCCACAAAGTTGTAGTCACACAGAGTTGTGCTGTGAGCGCAACTCCTCCACAGCCTATTCAGACTAAATCAAAGAAATTACAGATTTACTCTAGAATATATTCAGAAAACAACCCAGTGCGATGACTGTAGGAAATGTTCACTCAAACTGGCAGCTTCATAACAATCCAGAAAAGCCACACTGCAGAGGAGGAATTCCACTAACACAAATCGAATATAGGATCTCCATCAAAGGTGGCCTTTCAAGCCACAAAAACTCACAAACAACGCTGCTGCTTTAACTGCTTCACTAGATGCTATATTGTTTGTTGTTACAGACGCACTGGTGAGTGTTTTCTGCAGTGCACTGACTGTAGCAAGAGTACTGCTGAGCTGGCAACCCGCACACATACACATGAGAATACACTGTAAGGAACGACCCTCTCACTACACTGACTGTGTGTGTGTGTGTGTGTGTCAATATTTAAGATTACATTCAAATCAAAGATCACACCAGCATCGTGACAATAGATTTTTTTTTACGCACAAACAGACACACCTCTATGTTCATCTGGGAGAATGCAGAAAGAGTGTCTGTAAACTATACTGTACTGTATACAAATAGGAGGGCTGATTACAGTTCCTCTCTTCAGTAGTTACAGCATCTCTTTGACTGTGTCCTTTTGGTATTTAGATAGTTTAACCACTTGTGGATTTTGGCTTTATATGTTTTACTTATAAAAATAAGATAACTTGATATCTTTGAAAGATTGCAGTGCGTTCTCATACTGACTACAGTATAAAACCATCTGTACCTACAGTATGTAAATCAACAGGAAGATTCAAATCCTTTTTATTAGTTCCACGTCCTTTTTTATTTGTTAAGATCATTATTATTATTATTATTATTGCCTTTATTTGATAGTAGCAGCTGTAGAGAAACAGGAAAGTCCCTGAATCCCTACATTTTACAGGGTCGTGACTTTCTGTCATGCTGCAAACTATCAAACTATTTACCCCAACAACCATGTTCCACTCATCACTCCACCAAGCTCATTACAACACACAGATCCACTTAAGCCTCATTATTCAAACAAACACACACACGCACAAACACACATACACACACACAATTAATTCTGCAAAGAGCCATCTTATGACTGCAGGTGAGTAATTAAGCAGGATAAATGTAGCCGTCCAGGATCACTGTGAATTACAACTTGGCAGCTTAGAGTTACGGAAACAATCTTCATCTCTGTCCTCCTCCTCTTTCACCTCACTCAAAACCTCCTCCTCTTCCTTCTCTGCCAGCTCCTGACATTATTATCCACTCCCTGCTACACAAACACTGTCACCTACTGCGCATCTCCCTATTCATCAAGCTCCTCTGCAGGTGCACTGGAATCACAGTGCTAACTCCATGTTAAAATACAGGAGTTATTATTGGAGTTTGAGAAGAAGAACTACAGTAAGATTGAAAACACTTTCAGTGTCAAAGACTTTCCAGCTGCTCCTGCTATCAAAAAGTTAGTGAAAACCAGAGATGGACAGAGGGAAATCAGCTACAAACAGACCTTTTTGCCAATTTATGACAGAGACTTTACAGTAATAAAGGGATCTTATTTCCATATTGCTCAAGAACAATGGTTGATTATATTTATGATTACAATATTTCGCAAACTAATTGGAATAATATTATGTAATACTAAGCTGACATTTACGTGCACCCCATTCATTCCTTTTACTAATTATCTCAGACAGCGAATAAAATAAAATTTTCACAGCTGCATGTTGGCATCAGCAGTCATAATTGCACTCTATTAGGTAAGAAGATGAAATGCAGACATAATTAGCGACTGAAAAGTATTGAATAAGCCTATCAAGACCATTAGGATAAAAATGTCGCCCACAGAATGCAATCTGACAGCAGAATCATTAAATCAAAAAGAGCTGTCCATTACAAACCTAAATCAGGAAGAATAACTTCCCCCTCTCGTTCTAGTATAGCGTTACATTGAGCACATTATGCTCCCATACATCATTAGGTTGAGTTCAGCTCCCTTATTATGTCAGTATTCAATTTATTTGCCCATATTTTTATATTGTGGAAATGAGCACTGTATTACTTACAAGCCAAAATGAAATAAAATGAGTTATGCAGCTTCATTTTTTCTTGCTTCAAATGAGTGACAGTCACCATTCGCCACCCACTCTGTGCTGTTTCAGCAAATAATGACGGGACTGATGTGTGTGGCCAAGCAGAGTGCCAGTCATTCAGATGTTGTCAATCTCAATGATGTGCTTAACTCAAAATGAGAAGGAAAGTCTTAAATTCCGCAGATATTGTGATTTAACATCACAGCATAATCTCTTGCTGTGTTGTTATTTTGAGAAAATCTGTTGACTCCAGATAAATGAATTTGTGTGTGTGTGTGTGTGTGTGTGTGTGTGTGTGTGTGTGTGTGTGTGTTTTAATGATGTTGCAATGCTCATTCAGTCTTGATAATGCTATGTGTATTTCTATCAAGAACTGTCACAGCTACAACACCATAATAACAACACAAATCCTGGCGGACGCTGATAAATTACCCGCCCACCCTGACATAACAAATCCCAATTTATTTTCTCAAACTGTGAATTTTGTGTTAACAGCATTATTTAAACCCACACAACTTTATTTGAAATATCAATCAAACATAGCAACCATGGCAGGTGTACAAAATGATTCACAAGATGTCTTGTCTTAAATTTAATGATGAACCGAGAAAGAAAGCCTTGTATTTCAATCATTCATTCAGCGATGCATCATATAGGTCCAATGAAGAGTTGGAATGAGTAGATACAGAATATTTATGTAATATTTTCATACAGTGTACAGTTTCTTGAGTTGAAGAGACCAAACAGGAGAATTTAGTTGAAAAGAAGGGTTTTCCATTTCCTTCTTTTCCATTCAGTTGTGGTTTAATACCAAAAGTATGATTGAACAAAATCAGACCCCTGTTGTCTGAGGTATCATGTTTGTAAAAGCGTTTTGGCCATTTCAACATTTTTAATTCGTACAAATCAGATCAGAGTTTTTTATAACCAAATATCATTTTTTTAATTATCAAACAAAAGTCACAGCCAGTCGCAAATTAGGGTTGTTGTGGTTCGTGGTTAGTGCCTTAAGCCATAGGCTGACAGGGTCAACATAGATATTAATAGTTATTAACTGGCGCAGTCCAATCAATAGTTTGGCTAGGGCTTGGACATAACTCAAGATTAGCTGCTACTGACTTTCAGTGAATTATTGATTCTAAACAAATTGCAATTAAAAACTACAGTTGAATCATTTTAATGCACTGAACATTATTTATTTAGATGTGATTTTGCATATGTTTTCCATATTGTTGTATATATCGATATTGCAAATATATTGCCTTGCCCTACAGCACACCCAGCTACTTCAGGATGTGGACATCTGGGGTTAAAACTGCAGGCAACAAGAACAGACAATTGAACAAAGTATGGCTCCCAAAAGTGGCTCCCTATTCAAACTTTTTGAGGACTGGCCTAGGTTCAGAACAGTTGTTAACCTCTTGCTAACACCAAAACCCTCACATCTTGAATCAATTCTG